ACAAGCGAACCTTCTATACAGAACATTTTCACTAGACTCAATAGCAATAGTAAAAGCAACAGTACCAGTAAGAGCATCCACTCGTAGTTTAAAAATCAGCAAGACCTTCCCATGTGAAGCCTTGAAAACAACAAGACTAATCAGCCTGGTTTTAACCCCCAATGATGCAACTAGAATATGACATTTTGGTGATTTCTCAACACCAACAGACTCGACCAAATCATGTAGATAGGATGCAACGTCAAGAACCAACCATGCAATTTTCCAACCAAAATTCGTAAGAGATGCACAACACCTTTCTTTGGCATAATTAACACGGAATGAACTGTTCTCCATCGGTTTAATTTTCAGAAGTTTATATAACATTGTAGCTGGAGAAGTAGTAGCCAAGAAACTCCCTGCTTCATCAAGCAATTTCGTAACTTCTGTGTTTTTGAAATTTCCATGACCCCCATCTCTTTTCAAATCATCATTCCAATCAAAATTCCACGTAAGATAAAGGATAATTCCCTTCCCCTTAAAAACTTTCTTGTGCTCAAGGAAGTAAAATGAATAAAACAATGTATTGGAAGTTTTTACTGTAGTAAACATTTGCTTATCTTTGAAATAGGTTCCCCCTTTGAAACCTGTTACCCTTACAACTCACATTTTTAGAGTTTCCATAGTTTACAGGCACTAACAATATCCAAATCAGCAAATAACTCAAGAAATTTTAGATCAAACAGAGGCTCAAGAATGAGAGTTACAGACAAATTTATTACCCTACAATCTTCAACAACATTTAAGAACTTTCCAACATTTAGTTGAGAAATCTCCCCTGTTTTATGAGAAGTGAATAATATGTTACCAATTGATGAGGCTGGTGTTTTGGCATGGTTAAACAGCTCCTAGTTGCCTTATGCAGACAGTAAGGGGTTCACTTCAAAAACTTTAGACATGTAGAACTCCCAGATTAAGTCTCTCCAGGAAAATTCCCTAGAACAAAACATTTTCAACTTCTTCGTGAAGGAATCAACCCAGGGCCAATCCTCACCATACAAGTACTCCCATCAAACTCCAACATCAATAAAAGTCACCAGATTATCGTCCACTACTTCTTTAAAAAAACAGCAGGAAAGTAACCATCACATCATTTTTAAAGGCTTTCTCAGTAAAGTGTTCCATTAATTGGTCCACCATAGACTTCCCGGTTACATCAAACTCTAGTACTTCCAAGTCATAATCTGAATCAACACAAACAACAGAACTTCCACTAGAGCTGAAGGGATATAACAATAGAAAACTAAGAGCACATTTCCTTGGTGTAGAAACTTGAGTGGCCAAAGGTTTTCCAAACTCAACAAACCATTTTCCGATCTCACTGTATGAGTTGTTATCACCAAGATCAATGTAAAATGTGATAAATGGAACATTCCATGCCATATAAACATAACCTTCTCGTCCCTCATAAACAGATTCGCTAGCAAATACCTCAGTTTCACATAAAGTATTCTTGAACTAGTAATAACATAATTGTTTTCATAAACCAGTTCCTTAGAACTATTCAAGGAAATCAAATTAGCATCATCTTCAATTTCGACTTAAAACTACATTTTTAGAAGTCCTAACGACAGTAAAGTACTTTCCAATTGCAGGAGTTCCAACAATTAAATAATATGCATCACTTTTTCCAAGATCAATAGCAAATCTCGAACCAGAATTAGTTGTGCACGCATCACCTTCATTTTTACCCACAACTTTAGTACCCAATTCAAATTTAAACAAATTTGCACCATCAAAGAATATTGTTCCTCCTTTAAAACCGCTTAGTATTAATCCAAACTCTCCAGCAATAGGTTGGTTAACACCATGATTTATACATTTGACATGTATTTCATTACTGTATTTAAGAGAAAAAAACACCTCAACAGGATACTCTAATCTGCCCAGATCAACATGAAATGACAACTCATCATACGTAGGATCATCAACCAAATTCCAGCACTTGTCAACTTCTTGAACTACAGTTCGATTTCGCACAAACATCGTCCACAAAATCATTTAAACTCAATAAATCAACATTCGAATCATTCAAATCCACACAAACATCTTTCACAGTATTAGCATTAAACCTTGTAACCCAACCAACATCAGACATATCACCAACAGAACATTCTATTCCACCAGGATCGACATGGACGGAATACACACACTTATCATCAACATAATCAAGACAAGCACAATCACTCTTCACATCCACAACATCATCATCACCGCAACAATCCATCTCAAAATTCTCATTAACAAGCAAGTTTAATGGAACAGAAGCATATTCGTCAACACTTAGCTCAGTTTCGTCACTTTGGAACAAGGGATTACTATTCTCATCGAGGGTTTCAGAGAAGTCGTCAGTAGGCAAACCATCCTAAATTCCTTGTGAGTTCTCCTCTGTTGTCATCGCCTCTAATTCCATCACCATATCAAATTCTTCGATTGCTGCGACCTCCTCTGTATGTGTGGCTCTCACAGAAGCTTTTTCAACTTCATATTCAAACAATTCCTCCGGCTCCCAAACATTAACCAACATTGTAGGTCGAATGACTTTGCCGAATCGAAGCTCCAAACGATCCGCGAAGTCCTCCCATGTATACAGTTGTGAAATGGATAGTAATCCATACATGAATTGCAGGGGCTCTCTAGCTAGATAAAATTCCGCGATAAACAATTTAGCATCCGCCTGTATAGAATTAGAATAGAAAATTTGTTCCATTCGGTCAATCCACTGGCGGACATTTTTGCCAGTAGAAAGAGGAATTCCGTCCTGAGAGGGTTCTAGGAGCTTATGGGGAGTCGGATTTGGAGGATTGATTTCAGAAGGTGGGAGCGACAAGATATTCTGAAGCCTAATTTCAGAAGGTTGGTAGGAAGCTTAATCGATGAACCAGATAATCGGGATAGAACTTAAACTTTGGTGCGGACCGGAGGAAACGGAGAACGTCGCACAGATTTCTGAAAAAAGAAGAAGCAATAGAGTTCAGATTTCAGAAGGTCAACAGAGAGAATAGGGAAGAAAAGAGTGAATGGAGCAAATCCTATATAGAGACGGCTGAGAATCGTCCGCTCTGATACCAAATGTCACGACCCAGTGGCCGGAGGGTGGCCGAAACGGCAGAAAAAGGAGAAATTTGGACTTAGTTGGGGAGTAATTAGGATTCAGGGAGGAAACAGAGAAGGAAGAGAGAGAAACTGAAAATTTCAGTTTGATACAATATTTTCGATAATTTATTTTACAGACCCAACTACTATTTATAGTCTAACTAGTTTCTAAAATGACACTTAAGTCCCTACATTTCTATTTTTAATAATTTTAGTCCAGGGGCAAGACAATATCATTCTTGTTTATTTGTTTCATTGGGAATGAATGTAACCAATGATTACAGTATGTGTTCAAGATCCAAAGCATTTGATATATCGATTTTGGGTATTTATATGGATATGGTCTTCTTCATGCCTTATTTTTGTCTAAAAAAAATTGTTCACTTCAAAGTTTTATTTATTAAGATAATTTATACTAAAAATAAAATTTCTGACTAGACTTTTTTTTTTTTTTTGACGGAGGGAGTATATATCATATATGTTTCAGACACTTCATGGGTAGAAGTAAAAAACTTTGTCTTTCTCTACTACCTCTCTTATATCTCAGTTGATAAATTCTACTTGATCAATGACATTAATAATGCAGCACGTGTTATCAAAGGCGTGCTGCGTGTAAGTAAAATCCTGCTATATTCTTGTTGTTTGCTGCAGAAGTTTCGGTAATTTGATTCGAAAAATTAAAAAATGAGTGCAATCAAAGATATAATGAATTTCTAATCGGACATAGTCTAAGATAGTTGAAGTATTTCTTTGTAGTACAACTTCCAAGCATTGTCTGCATTGATCATACAAAATACTCGACTTTCCCTTCGATCTCTAGCCTCTCTTGTTCAATTTTAGTTCTTAATTTAGATTTAGCTTCACGTCGAAACTGATATCATTTGTCATCTGGATTCAGGAATATCATTTTCTTATAAGATATTAGTATCATATCTTATAGGTAGAAACTATTAAGTATAGAAGGAGGCAACTCGAATTAGTTTGTCAAAACTCAAAAGTTACTATTAAGTATAGAAGGAGGCAACTCGAATTAGTTCGTCAAAACTCAAAAGTTGCCCGTAGTGATGACAACATAATAATATGTCTATGTGTAGGGTTGGTGTTTTGCAATGAGTATATAATTACACCTTAACTAAGTGAAGTAAATGGTTATACTAACTATATTTACATGCACTAATAGAAACGAATAATAACGATATAAGTGACGAAAACAGTTCAACGTAATGTTTAAATACATATACTCTCCCTGTCTCAAAAGAAATAATTCATGTTGAGTTTTAAATTTACAGTAAAATTAGGATAAATTTCAAAATTCAATATGAACTATTTTTCTGAGACAGCGTGAGTATATCCCAACAAATTATTACACTTTTTCACCCAAGAAAAGTTGATTTTTATAGTTACGATTAAGAGTTACCAAGCCGGGAAGCTTTGCTTAGATAAATTCTTCTACTCACTATCTATCATGCTTTAGAGGCAATTTAGAATTAGATTAAAAAAAAAAGGCCTGGTTGTAAAATTTATACACTTGCTGGTAAGATAAAATAATAGAATGGTGTCTGTAATGCTTATAGATGAAATCATGAATGTAATTGGATTTTTACTGAACTCTGATTCCTCCCTAAATCCTTATTCTTTCCCTTTCACTCTGGGTTTAGGTTTTAATCTCACCCTTTGAAGATCTAAATTCACTCTGGGTTTAGATTTTAATCTCACCATTTGAAGATCTAAATTCTGCTCCCCTCAATTCTAATTCTCCCCTTCCCTTCATCCTCTTTTCTTCAAATTTATAAAATTTTCGGTCATTTCATGACACTATCTTGGATAAATCAATAATTAATCAATCTTTTCTCTAAGATGTCAAGGAATTTTGTATTCTAATTTACAGCGTAACTAAAATTTGTATTTAAAAAAAAACAAATTTATTTTCTTCCGTCGCAGTAATGAATTAACTTCTTTACCACGACCTCAATGATAGCAAAAGTTCAAAACCCGCCAGGGTCGGTTTAACGTCCACTTAAAATTTTGCATTTGACACGTGTCAATGAATGTGTGGACGAAAAAAGTGAAAAAGGGCCAATAAACTAACAGCCAAAATATCTCCCGCACTTAGCACGTGCACCAGCCTCCTCCGCCTTCCGCCTTCCGCCTCCGTGGCAATAGAGACTTCCGGTGAGAGAAAAAAAAAATGGATGTCTCAGCTGCCACGGGGTCAAACGTTTCCGAGATCGAAGCCCCTTTTCTGGTCCAAGACTTCGTTGAAGGAAACGTTGACTATAAAGGCCGACCCGTTAAACGGTCCGAATCCGGGGGTTGGAGATCCGCATCTTTCATCATAGGTACCAATCGATTCTTTGCTCCGTTCGGAAGATGAATTCAACAGAGGGGGTTTGAATCAATTTTCAATTTTTTTTTTCCAAACAGGAGTGGAGATATCGGAGAGATTTGCTTATTACGGAATAAGTTCGAATTTGATAAATTACTTGACGGGCCCAATTGGCCAATCCACCGCCTCAGCTGCGGCCAACGTCAATGCTTGGTACGGTGCTGGGTCGCTTTTTCCTCTGTTGGGTGCTTTTCTGGCTGATTCTTTCCTCGGCCGTTACCGCACCATTATCGTAGCTTCCTTGATTTATATTCTGGTAAGCTGATGTTAATAACTTCAAGCTGTAATCTTCCTTGATCTTTTGTGGTGTATGTTTCCATCTTCTCCTACATGACTTTTCTGTTCGATAATACAAGAATAATTGATAGTCCAGAGTGTGTTTATTAAACCTACCTGAGGTGGTTATTAACTGGCTAGTTTGGGAAAATTGAAGTTCATTGTGAAGTTGTATGCAGTGTGTGGTGTGGCTGATTTGGTATCTACATGGGTGATTTTACTGAATAATCTGTTTAGTAGCATTCGGAATTTCAGATGCTACATCACAGTAACTGAATTTTTATTACTTTCTCTAGTATAATTATGGGTGATACGATCATTATGGTAAAGAAGACGGGTAGAGAATGATTGGGGGTGGTGGGGTGGTGTTCATTTTATAGTTGCTGCAAGGACCAGAGTGGAACCGTACTTTGGAACCTTTACTTAGGGGCACTATAACTCTGCGAAGGAGTTACTTAGTTATGAGGTGAGCCTAGCTTGGTTTCTTCTTTTGTCCTTTTTTGGTGGCACAAAGAGAGGGGCAAAGCCTAATGTTCAAAGTTCATAGTTACATTTCCGGGGGTGTGCTACCCCGATGGATTAACCTACTTTCAAAATTTATGAAGTTAGAATGTATTGGTTCTTTCGTTTTTAGTTAAATGCAATATGTACTTCTAGTTTAAGGTAATACCGAGAGGGTTTATGAGTGAAAGGCCTTTAAGTTCCTTTACTCGGAGAAAGATGTTTTCTCTTCTTAGAGAAAGATGTTTGAGAAGTTGAGTGTTTTCAGATAATGTGACTTGATTTATTTCCGGTTATATCACTAAGTTTACTTTTTAAAATCGCTAAATGAATGGCAGGGACTTGGCATCTTAACCCTTTCAGCTGTCCTCCTCTCTTTCAATTCTTCCGACTGTCAGGATGCAGGAAATATCATTGCTTGTTCTCCTCCTGAGATTCAAATTATATTCTTCTTCTTTGCGTTATATCTGGTTGCTTTGGCCCAAGGAGGGCATAAACCCTGCGTTCAAGCTTTTGGTGCTGATCAATTTGATGTGCAAGATCCAGCAGAATGCAAAGCAAAGAGTTCGTTCTTCAACTGGTGGTACTTTGGCATGTGTAGTGGTACCATGATAGCGTTGTCAGTTTTGAACTATATTCAGGATAACCTTAGTTGGGGCCTTGGATTTGGAATACCCTGCATCATCATGGCTGTTGGGCTAACTGTATTCTTGCTTGGAACTACTACCTATCGATTCCGTGTCAACTCTGATGAGACAAGCCCTTTTATTAGAATCGGTCGGGTATTTTTAAGAGCAGGAAGAAATTGGCGGACCTCTTCTTCAGCAATTTCCATTGAAGAGGAGTCTCAGGGCTTTTTGCCTTATCAAGGTTCTCAACAGTTCAAGTGAGTTACTATCTTGTTCACTTATGTATTTTCTTGGTCTAAGATAACTAGCTGTTACCTGTTTATCATGTAAGGTAGAAATTACTTATTTCATCCATCCTTGTATTTATTTCTAATAGAGTTGTGTGATTTTCGTATTTTATTGTTGTTGGCTGATTAAATTTCTTTTCTTCATTGCTGTTGGCCCTGAAGGATGGTAATGTTGGTGGCTAAACTTTACTAATATGACACTTTGACTGGGCATTTGAACTAGCAAGTTTGTTTGCGATCATTTATTTTCATGTTAGATTTAAAGATTGTGGTATGATGATATCATGGATTGGAACTCAATCTCTTTTTTTCTTTCCATTTCTTTTTGTTTAGAAATAGATTGACCTATATTGTGAAAGGCTGCAACCAAACCCATTTTACCTGAACTTCTTTGTACTTGTTAGGTTTCTGAACAAAGCATTGCTAACTCCTAATGGTTCAAAAGAAGATGGGAAAGTTTGTAGCATTAATGAAGTTGAAGAGGCAAAGGTTGTTTTCCGTCTATTCCCAATATGGGCCACATGTCTGGTGTATGCTATTGTATTTTCTCAGCCACCTACGTTTTTCACTAAGCAAGGAGTGACAATGGACAGGTCTATCAGTCCAAGCTTTGAAGTACCAGCTGCTTCTCTGCAGTCGTTTATTAGCTTGTCCATTGTTGTATTTATACCCATCTATGACCGTGTTGTGGTTCCTATTGCAAGATCTATAACTGGTAATTCTTCAGGGTTAACTACTTTGCAACGGATTGGAACTGGAATAGTCCTATCATGTCTAACTATGGTTATATCTGCTCTTGTTGAGATGAAGCGTCTTGAAACAGCTAAAGCTTATGGATTGGTTGATAAGCCAAAGGCTACAATTCCGATGAGCATAGTGTGGCTCATTCCCCAGTATGTATTGTTTGGAGTTTCTGAATCATTCACTATGGTCGGTTTGCAGGAGTTCTTCTATGATCAAATGCCTAGTGAGTTAAAAAGTATAGGCCTTTCAGTGTACCTTAGTATTTTCGGGATAGGAAGCTTTCTAAGTAGCTTTCTCATTTCTGCAATTGAGAAAGCCACAGGTGGAGATGGGCGCGACAGCTGGTTTTCCAACAATCTGAACAAGGGACACCTTGATTATTTTTATTGGCTTCTTACTGCACTCAGTACAGCATCACTAATTGCCTTTTTGTACTTCGCCAAGTCTTATATCTACAATCGAAGAAATATTGTATGACTTGAACATCCTCCGAGCTTATGCGGGCTCTCACAGTGACATCAGTAGGGTAGACTCGGGTAGAGAATGTATATATTGTACTACATAGATTTTGTGTTCTATTCCACACCATTCCGAGCCCTTTGTCTCATCGTTGGCTATCAGTCAGCGGCTATTTGGTGTGCTTAAAGGACGTAAATCAGGAAGTTTTTGCTCTGAGCAGGTGAACGAAGTTAAATGGTCATTACCCATTAGGCTCTGTAAGGAAATGTTATGCAGGATAGATATGTTCTGAATGATTGATTAGGGGAGTCTGTTGTAAGATAGGTTTGAAGTTTTTCATAGAATAGACAGTAGAATTTTATTGAATATATTATACAGAAAATTAGGGTATAGAATTTCTTCTATAAATTGTGGATTGCTCAAGAATCAGCTGTACTAATTAATAGTATGATTGTATAAAGCTCTTTAATCTTGAATCTGTTTATATTTTCCATTTTTCGGTCAGGAAAAAACCAATCAACCCAATTCAAGTATGATAAAAGCAAGTCCTCGAAAATCAATCTAAAAGCTGGATGGGCAAGCATTATTACTCTTCTCTCTTAAAATTATTGTTTATTTTAGATTTATACTGTTAGTTGTATTAATATTAAAAATGAAAATTTACAAGCTGGGGTATTTAAACTTGTTGAGTAGATACAAGGGTTTGAAACTACAAAATGATCATGAAAGTCGAACTTTTGGGAATGATGATTTAACAGAAGCTGTACCTTTAATCTTATTTTTCGGAAACAAGATTTGGTTGACGTATGTAATAGTTTAGTATTTTAGGCATGTGTCTCCTTCATTATATCAAAAAAAAAAAAAAAAAAAATTCAAATTAGACTGTAGTTTCAAGACAAATGAAGTACAATCACACAACAGGAAAACAGCAAATTAGTTAGGAGGATAAGGATATTAAAGATACAGGAGGAAGAAAAGAAGTGTTTGTTTGGACGTCAACTTACGTTTTGTCACTTAAAAGTGGAAAGTGTTTCAAATTAAAAACTAAATGTGAAATAAAAATGTTGTTTGGATATTGATTTTTAAAAAAGTATTTTGAACTACATTTTGAAATATCAACTACAAATTATCATAAAACAATTAAATACTGTCAATTATAGTCACTGCAAAAAAGAACTTTTCCAAAAACAATCACTCACCAACGTAATCCTGTCAAATTTATCATTGAACTATTTGTAGTTCTAAAATGGTCATTACACTAACAAAAAATTTTTCAAGTTGGAATTTAAAATGTAAATCAGAAAGTTGTTTGGATGATGTTTTCTTTTTCATTAGATCTTGTGTTTAAGAGGTAAAATGAGTAAAAATATAAAATGAGTTGATGTCCAAACAAGGCCGAAAGAAATTCCCAGTTCGAGCGGGGTACAAGAATGGGGAAAAATAATTTAAAACCAAAAGAGAAAAAGGAAAAAAAAAAACGCCTTAATATCTCCTGCACCCAACCCAACGTCATCTCCATTAAACTTAGCCGCGCAAACTAGTGAGTAGTTAGGAGTTAAGACAGCTGCTTCCTCCGGGGGCAAAGAGACTTCCGGGAAGAGAAAATGACTGCTTCTACTTCCACTGAGTTAAACGCTTCAGAGGTCATCGAAACCCCTTTTCTAGTCAATGACACAGTTGAAGATAACGTTGACTACAAAGGCTGCCCGGTCAAACGGTCGGAATCCGGTGGATGGCGATCGGCAGCTTTCATTATAGGTATTCAAACCATCAATTATAGTTTTTACTTTTATGGAAGAAGAAAAAGACTGAAATTTGATGAAATTTTGGGTTTTTGTTTCTTCCTTCAATAAATAAAGGCCTGGAGATATCGGAGAGAATTGCATTCTGCGGCATCGGTTCGAACCTGATCAATTACTTGACTGGTTCACTCGGTCAATCCACCGCCACGGCCGCCGCCAACGTCAATGCTTGGTCCGGTGCGGCATCCCTTTTACCCCTCTTGGGTGGTTTTGTCGCTGACTCCTTCTTCGGCCGTTACCGCACCATCCTGATCGCTTCGTTGCTCTTTATCCTGGTCAGCTAATTTTTAGTTTGGGTTTTAGTCTTCGATTTCTATGGTTTTTCTCTGATCCTAGTTTAGGCATTTATGCCACTTCACTTTGGCGGTTTGTTTCATTTATTCATGTCAAAATGTTAAATTTCTTGACCGCTCAATTCTGAAAAGTAATGTTAATTGTGAAGACTTTATGGTGAATCATTTCTGGGATTGATTAGGTAACGAGTTTTATTAGTGTCATATTAACGGATTATCTATTATTACATCTGGATTACTATTCCTTAGAAAAATTTATTGGGCACCATTACTCTGATATCTTTTGCACTATGCTGCAAATAAGGTTGATGGAATCATATTTACTAGGAATTCCAGTGCAATTTCATTCTGAGCTGGACCTATTTCTAGACTAAGAGCAGCCTGAAATCAAGCCAGAAGAGAAGTGTAGGTTTTGCTAGGGGTGGCGGGAGAATCAGATAGCTCCATATGAGTCACAATGGAGCCTTTGGAAGCCCATTCTCATATGGTGATAAATGGATAATGATGAGAGGAAATGCAGGGACGAAAGTGAATCTTTCTGCTGATTGAAGATGATATCTAGTCGTATTCCCTTTCTAGACAGGGACCTTTGTTGTTATAACACTTTTAAATTGCTTACTGCCTTAAGTCCTAGGACAGGTTCGAGTAATAAATATATTAGATGGTCGGGTACGCATATATAAAATGTTGTTATACATATGTTTAAGGTATTATGACACTTTGCATGGGAGAAAGTTGTTTTAATCTTCTTGGTTAGGGAGATATATTCAAATTCTATAATAAGAGATAGATGTTTTAAATTTACTAGGAGAAATGCCAAATGAAAGGAAAGAATGATAATATGGAATTCATAGTTCAATTATTTATTTATTTATTTTTAGATAATGCGGATAGGTTTGTATTTTCTTTTTGTTTTCCTATGTTCACCCTCAAATTTTTGTCAATAACAGGGACTTGGCTTCTTGACGCTTTCTGCTGTCCTACCCTCGTTCAGTTCTGCTGATTGTCAAAATGCAGCGAAAGATGTTGCTTGTTTTCCTTCTGAGCTCCGAATTGGCTTCTTCTTTTTCTCCTTGTATCTGGTTGCTCTCGCAGAAGGAGGGCATAGACCTTGTGTTCAAGCTTTTGGAGCTGATCAATTTGATGGACGAGATCCTACAGAACGCAGAGCAAAAAGCTCATTCTTTAACTGGTGGTACTTTGGTATGTGCGGTGGTTCGATGATAACATTCTTGGTTTTGAACTATATCCAAGATAACCTTGGTTGGGGTCTAGGATTTGGTATACCCTGTGTTGCAATGGCTGTTGGGCTGATCTTATTCTTGTTTGGAACTAAGACATATCGATTCCGCATCAACGGTGATGAGATGAGTCCCTTTCTTAGAATTGGTCGGGTATTTGTGAAGGCAGGAAAGAATTGGAGGGCCTCCTCCTCAGCCATTTCTATTGAAGAGGAGTCTCTGGGATTCTTGCCCTATGAGGGTTCTCAACAATTCAAGTGAGCTACTAGCTTTTTAAATATCTACTGGCGTAAAATGACTAGTTTTGACCTTAACCTAAATTAGATGCAATCCGCTTAATTTATGGCCTGTCGTTGATGATGATGATGATGATGATGACACACCTAAATTAACGTGGCATAATTATTTTTATGGTTGTTATTTGATTTTTGATATAGTTATCATGATTGGTGCTTTGAATAAGAATGTACTTATATTGCACGTTGACTTAGCAATTGAGTTGTAAAGTTTCGTTGTGATCAGTTTTCTTGTTAGATTTGACTGTTATATGTGTAATCATGCATAGGTATCCGTTCTTAGTATTTCTTGTCCCTTTTGTTTTCTTCTTTTTGAAATTGATTTCCTTTAAAATCAAAAGGCTGGAACCAAACTCATTTTGCTTAAACTTTGGTTTTTGTATCTGTTAGGTTTCTGAACAAAGCTTTGCTAGCGCGTGATAATTCAAAGGAAGATGACCATGTTTGTAGCATCACTGATGTAGAAGAGGCAAAGGCAGTTCTTCGGCTGTTTCCAATATGGGCCACAGGCCTGGTTTACGGAATTATGTTTTCACAGCCACCAACCTTTTTCACCAAGCAAGGGGTAACGATGGACAGGTCTATCAGTCCAAGTGTGCAAGTACCAGCTGCTTCTCTGCTATCTTTCATGACCTTGTCCATAATGATATTTATACCCATCTATGACCGTGTTTTGGTTCCTATTGCAAGATCTGTAAGTGGAAGACCTTCAGGGTTAACAACTTTGCAACGTGTAGGAACTGGAATAGTGCTATCATGTCTTACCATGGTCATAGCTGCTCTAGTTGAGATGAAGCGCCTTGAAACGGCTAAAGCTTATGGGTTGGTTGATAACCCAAAGGAAACAATTCCAATGAGTGTAGCATGGCTGATACCTCAGTATTTCCTGTTTGGAGTAGCTGACACCTTTATATCAATTGGTTTGCAAGAGTTTTTCTATGATCAGGTACCTAGTGATTTAAAGAGTATAGGCCTTGCGCTGTACCTTAGCGTGTTTGGATTCGGAAACTTTCTGAGCAGCTTTCTCATCTCAGTAATTGAGAAAGCCACAGGCGGAGATGGACGCGACAGCTGGTTCTCCGACAATCTGAACAAGGCTCACCTTGATTATTTTTACTGGCTGCTTTCTGCCCTGAGTGCAGTGTCACTAATTACCTATTTGTACTTTACCCAGTCTCACATTTATAATCGAGCAAGTAACATCTGAAATGAACATATATTCACCTTTGAAGTGGATTTGCAAAGAAAGTACATATTGTACAATAGAGTCAGATTTTTCACTTTCCACTCCATGTTAAGCCCTTTTATGAATCTTTCACTGCTGCTTCTTGGCAGCTGAAAAGGAGTTCAGAATATACACCAAATGTGCTGCACTGTACGTATACATTACTTCGAAATATGTGGGGAACTGCAACACATACTATCGTTCTTCGTTAACTGTATCCATTCATTAACCAAAAACAATTTTTTTTTTTTTTTTTTTTTACCAAAATAGTGTCCTTATCCTCAGTGATTTCCTAAAGAGAGGAGTCTAGCTACATAGAATTATGAATTATTAGAACCTAAATATGACCACTTAGAAAAAAAAAGTTGTATAAGAAGATATATCATCGTAGTTTTGTTCTGTAAATGTTCCAATTTATGCTATAATAATAGCATCCCGCTCCCGGGTTTTCCTTTTGGTAGTAGGAAACAGTACCAATCCATATTGGTATTAGGAAATCCCCAAACTTTTCCACATCCTTTTGCAAATACGAAATCTGGCCGCGATTCCTTATGATATTAGGAAACACAATCCCATAATCTCCAGGTTCTCCATTTAGTTTGTCTATATATACATGTAAAGGAGTCCTCTGTTTTGCATATTGCACTAGCGATTATTATAGCATCTACTAGAGAAGAAGTTCTAATTATTAGCATCAATGGCAATGTTTATTGCAGCTAAGAGACCTTTGAGTGTCATCGGCGGTTGGCGTCCGCCGATCGACGAGGAACTCCGTCTGAAGCGACTCAAAGAGTTCCTGATGGGTGGAAACCGGTAAATACAGCTACTGGGAGACTACCATCCAGCCAAAAAAATCAAGACGACGACGACAACGGTGCTGCAGCCGCGGTCTTCCGATGCAATGAAGAAACAGGGTAATGTCATTGGAAAGAAAGATGATTATCAAAGTATGACCAAATTCGTCTGGAAACGCCAACCGACAAAACCCGGATCTGAGAAACAGGGAAAAGTTGTTGGAGAGAAAGTTGCAGCAAAAATTCTTGCGCAAAAATTGTCCGAATCTGAAAAACAGGGGAATGTCATTGAAAAGAAAACTAAAGTAGAAATTCCAGTGGATCAAACTTCGTCACCGGAAACCAATAATAAAATCAGGGACAAAATTCGGGAAGTGATCAGGTTGATGGAAAATAAGAGGAAGCAACAAAGGCAGGGGCGGACGCACGCAGAAGCCTAGGCTGAAGTGCCTTATTGTACCTGCTTGAGCAGATGAGCTACGTCTTCTTCTTCTTCTTAATATTTCACATCTACTCCTAAGATGGTAGATGAACTCAAGAGTTGAAATTCCACCAGAAATATTTTACCACACATAATAAGTAGTAAGTTGTATACTTTTCAATACTCTGTAAATAGTTGTTAGTCTTTTTTCGTGTGAATTGACTACAAATTTTTTTTTATCCTGAAATTTGTAGTGAGTTCTAACCCAAAATCATCCATATATATACCTAATTTTCAACATAATTTCCCCTGTTAGGTTCCATGTTTCTCCAAATCATCCATTCATTTCAACAAAATCATCAATAAAAACCTATTAAATGATGTTACACTCGTATCTTGGAATTTGTTGGTTCTGCTCAAATTTCCAAACCTATAAAGTGAGTATTGGGCCACTAGAGTCCAATAAGATTGTCATAGTTGTGTAGGTTTTAGTATAAATAGGAAGATTTTGTACTAAATTTATTTGGGAAGAATAGAGGTAAGATGTAACCACTCAATTGAGAGAAAGGTCTTGAGTGAATGGAGTAGAATTAGGATTGAGTTGAGTGAGATCCTTTTTTAGTTTTTACTTTTTTTGTGTAGTGATGTGCATCTTTCTTCTCCGAAGCACATTAGAGGTGAGTGATGAGAAATACTTTGTGAGAGTGTAAAGGTAGAATTGAGGGAGAGAGACATAATGTTTTAAGAGAGGCTCCACTTTTGTAAACTATTCTATTCTTATATTAGTAGAAAGTGTTACCATTCCCGTGGACGTAGATCTATGAGAGATCGAACCACGTAAGTATGTTTGTGTTTCTTATTGTATTTTGCTTGGTTGTTTACTTTTAATCCCTTGCGTGTGCTGTTGAGTGAGTAAACTTTCAGTAATTTGTGTGGAGAAGGTATCAAAATCCCCAACAGAATTATATTTGTTTGGTTGCATTGAATTGGGACCAAGAATTGGAATTGGAGCTCTATAATTCTAATTCTTGTGTTTGGTTCCTAAAAATAGAGGTCCAAGAATTGTAATTATAATTCAAGATGGAGTTCAATTCTTTATTTTCAATTCTTTTGTGGGAGCAAATAATTAGAATCCAAATTCAAGCCACTTAAAAAAAAACATGCAGGTCATAGTCGGGTCGTTTTCGGGTTATAACCTAAACGGGACGTCCTATCAATTTTTAACTTTTGTCCTTTTTTTATATATATTTTTTATAGTTTTATTTTTTTCAGCCTTTTTCTTTTTCTTTTTTTACTTTCAGCGCTTCCTGGCGTTTTTATTTTATTTTTTTTTGGGGTTGTTTGTCTCATTATTATTATTATTATTATTATTATTATTATTATTATTATTTCATATATATCATTTTAATAATTATCAACGAAATCAATCTAATATTAACATTGTAAGTTTTTGACACAAAAATCAAAAGTATAGCTGTAATAAAAAAAAATTAATAACTAAATATTTTAGTTTTGGTTAATATTTTTATTATATTATGACATAGTAAACAACATAACATTTTTTTTAATGGAAATTGTTCCATATATACACCTATATTATAATACACACACATATACACACACACATATATATACATATATATATATATATTTAACTATTTATGGCATCTTTTCACAAAAAAAATGTAAGTTGAGTTTTAAGTATTTATTATTTCATATATAATTATATACTGAAATAAAAACATTTAAGTATATATTATATACTAATGTTAATCTATGTATAAATGAACCTCAATATTCATAAACTGAATTTACAACGTTATATAATAAAAATCTTTTTTAATTTTTGATATAAATCAAAACATCAAAAATTAAAAATTTTGAAAAATAATAAAAGAGAGGAAAACAAAGATGTTTTACGTGTTACTTATTTGTATATTAAGTGAGAATTGTAAATATCATATTAATAGTTCTTATACGTAATAATATTTCTTTTGTTTGCAACAAAAATATGTGTAAATAATAAATTACAAAATTGATATAACAAATTAATTAATAATAATAATTCATTTTAACAAAAAAAGTAAAAATTGTATAAGTTAAACAATCACAAAGTAGTCAAATATACATGTACATAATGAATTTATTTATTTTTTTGTGTTATACATATCCATAATAAAATAAAACTTTTTAAAAAATTTTTTTTGACAAGAAGTATAAATTGTATTAGTATTAGTTATCCAATAACAAACTAATTTCTATTCTAAAGTATCCAAATTTTTATGCATCCAAACGCAAGAATTGGAATTAGAACCTTAATTCTAGTAAATTTTCAAGATCTCCCAAACAAGAAAATTGAGATTGAATTACAATATTAATATCTCATTTTCAAATTTAATAGTATTATAATTCCAATTCAATTACAATTCAATCTAACCAAACGGAACCTAAAATAAATTTCTTCTGAAAAGTAAATTTGTCCCAACATATATTCAGTTATCTCTTTATTAGATAGATGACTTCATTGTGCGCAAGTTTTTGAGTCATCAGAACCTTCTTAATAAAATAACCAAATTTTTCTCCCCCATTGCAACCGAAGTTACAGTATTACAAGTGTTGATCACTTGATGCATGCATGGATCATTAGGCTAACACGTATGCATTAGCCGACAATCAAACGCCAAAAATATTTAAAAAGGGCCTTTTCAACTTCTCTTTCCCCACATTTCAGCAGAAATTCTGGAGATTCTGTTAATTCCCCTGTTCGGTGGGCGGCATGCTACATTCTCAATTGTTGTTCAGTCCCACATTCTGACACTTATCTGTTTGCTAGTAACTTCTTACTGCTTTTACATAAAACAATATGGCCAGAGTTCCCAATTTAGGACGTTTTGCTGATGATCATGATGTAATTGATGGAGTTGTTGATCATAAGGGAATCCCAGCAAAAAGATCCCAATCAGGGAAATGGAGATCAGCATACTTCATGATAGGTGACTCTAATGAAATCCCATATCAAACGTTTCAGTGGCTTTTTTTTTTTCCTCTCAAAATTGAGCCTTTATGTGTGCTAAAATCAGTAAAATTAAGATGAAAGAATACCCTTTTTGTCTCTGGGTTGATGTGTTGAGTAATTAGTAAGATTAAAGAATATCCTTTTTGTCTCTTTGGTTGATTACAGTGATAAATTGTGTTGGAATAACAGAAAACAACTTTAAATGTTAACTTTGTCCTTAAAGTTGTTAACTTTTACTTTATGTACAGGGAAGATGAAAATAATTGTTTCAAAAAGTTCTAATTAAGTCATATGGTTGTTTCAGTAGAGGAAAGATCTTTGCTTGAGTTATATATTTTAGTTTCAATTGGTGATGAATATTAACCACGTGTGATGAATGGTAGGTGTTGGAGTAACAGAGAGGTTTGCCTATTATGGAATAGGTTCCAATCTCATAATTTACCTTACAAGTCATCTTGAGCAGTCAACAGCAACTGCTGCTGCAAATGTAAATATGTGGAGTGGAGCAGGGGCAATGCTGCCTCTTGTCGGAGCTTTCGTGGCGGATACATTTCTCGGGCGGTATTGGACCATAATTGTGGCGTCTCTGCTGTATATTCTGGTTAGTTTCTGTCCTTATGAACTTATTATAGTGCCTTTTGTTGATGCCTAGTGTTGTTAGTGTTCCACTTTGGTCATACTCATAATGTGAGGGTATAGCTCAACGAGCTTCACATGGAGTAAGACGGCAATGGGCTCGTCTTATATTTTTTGACCATTTGCTGGGGGGATTTTGCTTTGGAATTCTGCACAAGCATTGTAATTATCCTCTTGGCTCCAAATTCATCTGATAATAGTTCCAACGGGTTGAGTCTATAGTGTGATTTGTATTCTTGAACTCAAATTTTAGCATTCAAATTGTCTGTTTCTCGTGAGCTTTATTGTCGACTTTTGGCTCATTTGTATGACGAAGACAAGAAACTCTGATGTTTGAAATTCAAAATATTAGAACCGTGCCAAATATATAGGAAAGTTGATGACAGGTTGACCCACATCAATGAGATTCCAAATCAAAGCACTACAAGATACCAAATCGATGATATGATGCATAGTGAGGGTCTTATTCCTTCTGCGGGGATTATGTGAAATTTATGTCTGAATACTGAATGCAATGTACATGAAAGATGACGAGTTAATGTGCTAGTGTATAAAAGCACGTAGAAGCTAACTTGACCGATATTTATTGCAGGGGCTCGGCTTATTGACGATATCTGCCTTGCTCAACTGCGAAAGGGATGAAGTAATCAAATCATGTTCACCTAGCCAATTCCAAGTTATCTTTTTCTTCTTCTCACTGTACTTAGTGGCACTTGGACAAGGGGCACATAAGCCATGCCTTCTGGCATTTGGTGCTGATCAGTTTGACGAAGAAGATCCCGAAGAAAGCAGATGTAGAAGTTCATTCTTCAATTGGTGGTATTTTGGCTTATGTGCAGGTCCTCTGAGTGCCCTCCTTGTCTTGAACTACATTCAAGAAAACCTTAGTTGGGGTCTTGGATTCGGAATTCCATGCCTCTCAATTGCACTTGGTCTTTTCATCTTCTTGCTTGGAACCAGGACATATCGCTTTACTGTTAGAACAGAACAGAAGTGTGTATTTACCAGGATTGCTCAATCAATTTGGGATGCCAAAGATAGAAAAAATTCCTCGATACTGAGGTCTGATCACAGGGTACAAGGGACTGTCCATCCTGCAAGAGCAAATCATAATGAGTAAGCTCTCTTGTTCGTATTAGTTAAAGATTTTGGCTTTTTCTGTACATCTAATCCTGTCAGCTAAAAAGGACTGACACTGAAACAAGGGATGATAAATTCTGAAATTTTAAGATGATTATTCTTGTATTTGCAAATGGGTGTGGTGGTTGCCCAATCAACTGAATGTCATAATCAATGTCAAATTGCTATCTTCCTTCTTAAGCTGCATCAGGAGTAATTATTTCCCATTATAAAACATACGTATCCTTTTTGAAAGTTCATTTAGGCATGTAAACATTTATAATCTTATTTCTTATAAGCTGCATCAGGAGTAATTATTTCCCATTATAAAACATACGTATCCTTTTTGAAAGTTCATTTAGGCATGTAAACATTTATAATCTTATTTCTTATACTAAAAAGTTAAATCAGATAGTGACTCTGGAATGAATCAGGTTTCTAAACGAAGCATTGCTTGAAGTGAATGTTGAAGACAAATATGATGAATCAAGTGATGATTGTGAACTTGAAGAGTGGAAGGCCCTCAGAGGTTTGGTGCCTATATGGGCTACCTCATTGGCTTACGCTGTTGTGTTTGCACAAGTATCAACTTTGTTCACAGAACAAGGAATTACAATGGACAGGTCAATAGGTTCCGCATTCAAGTTACCGGCTGCTTCGCTTCAGTACTTAACTGGCATTTCTATTATCCTTTTCATCCCCATTTATGACCGATTCTTTGTTCCCCTCGCTAGAGCTGTCACTAGAAGGCCATCAGGGATAACAAAGATGCAAAGAATTGGAATAGGCATGGTTCTGTGCATTTGTTCAATGACTATTGCCGCGCTTGTGGAAAGAAAGAGGCTTCAGACTGCGCAGCTTCACGGGCTTGTTAGTTTTCCACAAGAAGTGGTTCCCGTGAGTTTTTGGTGGTTGGTGCCTCAGTATGTACTCTTTGGAATCGCCGATGTTTTCACTGTGATTGGCTTGCAGGAGCTATTCTATGATCAAATGCCAGCTGAACTGAAAAGTGTAGGTCTCTCATTATTTCTGAGTATTTTCGGCATAGGTTGCTTTTTGAGCGGTTTTATCATATCAATTATTCAGAAGTTCACTAGCATGCATGGTGTTGGTGGTTGGTTTTCTAGCAATTTGAATCAGGCACATCTTGATTACTTTTACTGGTTACTCGCTGCGCTTGTCACACTGGAGTTCTTGGTGTTCTTGTATGTAGCAAAATTCTACGCTTCCTGTAATCATAGTAGAATCGTTTCACATTGTTAAAGTTGTTGACTATAGTTAGAGATGAACATATAGCAAGGATGCTTAGGAGTCTTGTGTATGTTGTAATTGTAGGAACCTGATCCTGGATTTTGATTAGAGTAAGCTCCAAATGGACAACTAGCTGTAGGATTTTGGTACCACAGAGTCTCAGTGCTTTTGCACCTTGCATTATTTCCGCAACTTAAAAGGTTTTGTATCTTTTGGTTCAGTCAGTCCTAATCATAAACTTTGATTGAGGTTTGAGCTGGTAAAGATCACTTGAACAAGTAAAGGCTAAAGCCACCTCAAAGAACTCCATTTCCAATGCCCTTGAAACTGGGGCCGATAACATTTGATAATGATGCACAGCAGAATGGATCAGCTTTACAATGCTAACTCTCAGAACTCAGAAATTCTCTTCTATATTGCTGAATCCATTGACAACAGTACAGAAACACCTCACGAAAAATACATTCGAGAAGTTGATAAATGCAAAGGAAATCAGCTTTTGTAGCTGCTGGTGCGTGCACAACTACTTAATGCAGGTTTTGTGCTTTGTGGAGAGTTTTCAACAGGCAAGCCTCAAAATCTCCATTCTCCATTCTTGAGTTTACTGTTCTGTTTCCAATGCTGCATTTCCTTTCCGCCCTTTATATGAGACTCTTGTGCATTGAGCCGGAGAACAGCATGTACTGAATCAGAATGTTACATCAATTTGATGTCGTCTATTCTGATGTTGATCTTTTCTTGCTCAAATTACCATGCCGTCTGGACATATGCCACTCATATTCATAAATGATCACAAACAAAGAAAAACTCTGTTTGAATTCTGCAGATATGAAAGAACATGAACACAACTGCGACGATGCTGAAGTCAGATTTCCAAATCCATTCCATTGTACAAAGTACTCTGATATATAGTAGGCTACCAAACAATTGCAACAGAAAGAATATTATCCAACTCACATTTGTTTCCTCTTCAATACATGAACTGTCACACGCGAGGTTGTGCCTCCTACCTTTGCGACAAGAATTCGACCTACCATTCTTGGAGCTGATGAACACGAAAAACACAGATCTACCAGATCACATGAGGCTAATTTTGAATCCTCTTGATGCTATCAATTAAGGGCAACCATCTGCAGTTGTGCTAGGGAGACAAAAGTTGACTTGTGAAACATAAACAAAGTTCTTGGCATTAATGATTCTCTGGTCACGCATGTGGTCTAATCAAATTTCTTTGGAAATGATTATAGAAGACAACTCTGGACAAGAATTAAAAGCTTATCAGTTGCAGCAACAAGCATATTAACAATTAAGAATTTCAAACAAATGAGCATGGATTCCTCTTGTCCTCCATCTGCAAACATGACAACAAAATAACTGATTTTTCCTTTCTGCCCGATCAGCATTTTTCGCATTGGAAATGGTGCTCAAAGGGGTTGTTTGCATCAGTTAAGATCTGCAATTCAAGATAGAGCTTTGGGGATCCGACAACAAGAAACATGAAGAGGACATACATAACAGTTCCCTAGCTGTATACTTAGTGGTAGAGAGATGATGTGATTCCTTCTGTTTTCTTGACTTTCCTATATATACATTGGGTTGGAAAGATTGGTTCATCAACAGCTCCGTAAGCTTCTAAGTTCAGATCCAAACAATCCCATTCCTTCCAAAGAAGAAAAAGAAAAATGGCAACATCCACCCCAAAGCTTTCCATTCACGCTCGATCCATTAGCTTGCCTTCACAATCTCATCCTCTCATCACAAATGTTGAGGAACATCTGCAAAGGTTGAGATCATCAGCCGATGCATCCTCCTCATCTTCTCATACTTTGGCTTGCAAGAGATTGGATAGCCTAAAGAACTTATACGAATACGTTGATGATATGCTTCAACTGCCCCTTAGCCAACAAGCTCTCTCCCAAGATGTCCTGAATGGATCAATCAGTTTGTTGGACATTTGTGGATCAGTAAGAGACATCTATTCACAAATGAAGGAAACTGTCCATCAACTCGAGTCATCTCTACGAAGGAAAAGATGCGGAGATTTAGACAATGAAATCAGTACATATATGGTATCTAAAAAGCAATTGAACAAAATGATCACCAAATGTTACTCAGAAATCAAGAAGTTGGCAGTGGCTAAGAAAGAATCATCATCAGGGCTTGTGAGTCTGGTGCAACAAGTCCAGGAAGTCAGCGCTAGCGTGTTGGAGTCAACTCTATCTTTGATTTCTCCATCAAAGACTGGGAGGTCATTGTTCTCAAAATTACTACAACAAAGCAAATCATCATCCCAAGATCTTTCCTGGATCCAGAAGGTACAAGTTGACTTAAAGTCATGCAAGGATGGGGATTTCTTCCAAGTAGTCAAAACACTCCAAGAAATGGATTCCAGCATTCAAGAAATGGCAGAAGTCCTAGAAATTGTCTTTAGGCTTTTGGTCAAAACCAGAGTTTCACTTCTCAACATTCTCAACCATTAGAGAAACACATATAATTTTGTGTACATAAATGAAATCATAGTATTAGATCTGTACAAACTTATACAGTTATACAACAAATTTTGTTAGAAATCAATACTAAAGGAAAAACAACAAAATGCTCCAGATTTGGTCTCCTATTTTACAATTATACCTCTGCTTGTCGTAGATTTTTGTTCTTCAAACTAACATTGCTATCAACAAATGACAATAATAAATTGAATTCCATATAACAAATCAATCTTAAAAATGCAGCATTTGCTCATCTTTAAACACCTCACACGTCAATAATTAACCAGAAAAGTTCATGATAGAGCTAAGCCAATGTGTACATGAACAACAAGTTTAATAGTTTCAGCAAGATAATTAGTGATTCCGCAACCCTACTCTAAGTCGCAAACGTAGTTCTTGCAAAACCAATTATCAGAAAATTGACATGTTTTCTTAAGTAACGCGGAGAATGACTATCATTCTTCAGTAACTTAATCAAAAAGGTAACCAAAAAAAGAATCAGCTTTCGTTTACTGAATTGATTTGCTATACCTAACTCAATGATTTGACATCTTAACCATTATTTCACTACAAACATTGTAAACAAAAGTCACCAATGAAGAATATGACTATCATTCTTCAATAAATTAATCAAAAGCTAACAAAATAAAGAATCAGCATGAGTTTACTGAACTGATTTGTTATACCTAACTCTATGATTAGACATCTTAACATTATTTCACTACAGACATTGTATACAAAAGTGCAAAATTAGCACGAATAAATCATGATTAAGATCGGTTGTAATAATGGAATTATATTAAAAAACTGAATCTTTAATCTCTTCGTTAAAGAAGCGGGAATGTTATGCAGGAGAACATTGGATTGGGAGTTGGAAAAACAGAAGATCTCAATCTCAATCTCTTGGTCATGTTATTCCTATGTTTTTTTTTTACTACTATGAATCAAATCATCAAGAAATTTCAAAATCTTCCATCAAGTCCTCCTCTGTGTTTGCCAATATTTTGCAATCATCTCCTGAAGAAACGTAATTAGTCACAGCTTAAATCATTACCATGAGTTCAACCTCACCTTGTATAAAAAAGAACTAAAATTCTCAAGATGAAAATGGATTTTTGTTTCATTAACCAATTTCGGTACCAATTTTTGAACAGGAAATTTACTCCACACATAAAAGACAACGGCATCTCAGGCCTATATGAGACCAATGCAAACTACAATTGCCAAGTAACACTTGGAAAATTACAATTGAGAAAGAACTTTCATCATTTCAGGGCGTGGCTTGCACTTGGCAAGCAGAGGTTTAGCTTTATACATGTTAAACGCGGACCCTTCTTCAGTCATGTCCACCATTTCATGGGTTTCATCTCCAGCTGCTTCCCAGTTGAAGCATTGGAGGAGGGATCCCAATGTTAGCGCGATAACTCGCGTCGCCAGATTATCGCCTGGACACCTTCTTCGCCCGCACCCAAAAGGCATGTAAACAGACCTGTCAACTCTTTGTCCTCCCAAGTTCATGAACCTTTCCGGCTTGAATTTCGCGCATTCGTCCCATAATTTTGGATCATTTTGTATACCCCATATGTTGACTAGTAGCAACGTACCACGAGAGATTCGATAACCTCCAACAAAGCAATCTTCAGATGACATGCGGGGAAGAAGAATAGGGGCCGCTGGATATATCCGAAGTGTTTCAGAAATGACACCGGAAAGATATGGAAGATGTTCCAAATCCGAATCGTTGATTAGCCTTGAATGTCCGATTTTAAAGTCGATTTCTTCCTGAGCTGTCTTTAATGATGCAGGATTGTTTAGTAGAAGAGACAGAGCCCATTCTAGTGTTCCAGATGAAGTTTCAGCCCCCCCTGCTAAAATGTTCTGTTCAGGAGAAAGAATTCAGACAAAAAAATTGATGAGTGAAAAAAAAAATGAATAAATGCATGACTTCTATTTAGATGATTAATTTACCTGATTCAATCCATTGATGAGTTCATCGGTGTAGTATCCGGGTTCGGTCTCTTGGAGGGACAACAGGACATCAAGCATAGTCTTGGCCCTATTGATCATATTCTCCCCTGGATCAACATTTGCTCTGTTTTTTCTGCGTTCTCCAATCAGATCTTGCATGAATTCATGCCTCTTCTGATGTATCTTTTCCACCTTCTTCTCAAACTTCTTTTGAGCACCAATCCACTTATACAAAGGAACAAAATCCGCCGTATTCACAGTTCCAATCACTTCAAAACTCTCTTTAACAATCTGTTGAAATCTCTTGGCTTCTTCTCTGCTCTGCTTACCGACATCGTCGTCGTCGTCAAAGTAGTATCGCTTTCCTGCAAGGGTTCCCATGATCATGTTGGTTGCCAATTGAAAAAAGGTTGACTTCATCTCGATCGCGCCATCTTTCGGTTTCAGGAGCCGCCGAATCAGTAAACACACCTCCTGATTCCGTATGTTGGCAAACATTTGGATTCTCTTGCTAGATATCACTTCAAGGCTGGCTAATCTTCTTAAATTTCGCCAGTGTTCACCATATGGAGCCCAAGTCATGGTGGTAAAGTTGTAACCAAAGTACTTCCCGGACAGAAATGGAGGTTTGTTGGAGAAGATTATGTCGTTTTTGGTGAAGCATTCCTCAACAAGAGAAGGGTTAGATACGAGGAGAACAGGGCGAGAACCGAAGT